CAGCGCTGCCGAAGGCAACGATAGTCTAGCATCGGAGACTCTGCTAAAGAGTCTTCGACGAAGTGATAGCTCTGCAGTGAGTACAAACGGCAGTGTTTCCTCAGCTGGAGGTCGCTGGGGAGGTATTTTCTCCGGACTTTGGAGCTCTCGCCAAGGCTCATCTACCGAAAGTAGTGAGCCATGTCCCCAATCTGAAGCTCGCAAAAGGTCCGCCTCTACAATTTCTGGTCCTGCTAGGCGCGGGTCAACCACCTTGACTCAAATGGTTAAGGAAGTCAGTGAAAATGAGGATGAACACCGGCCCGAAACAGCTCCCAGTGGGAACATTTCGATTCCAGCTGCTTCTACCGCTGCTTCTCACAACACCCAGGCTGCCTCACCAGAACCGTCATCACTCACCAGCCAAGTTCGGGAATCGCCTTTGAAGTTGTCAGTCCGAGCAGATGAAGGTGTGGTGGATGTTGACCTTCCACTTCCTGGTTTCATGTCACTTTCTTCGTCCGGCGATTCAACTATTGCCTCGCCAAAGAAGACTCGGACCTCCGTTACTAGCATGGATGCAGTTGCTTCTACGCACAGCAGTGGCTCCGGGTTTCCAGGTATCATGAAGGATAGCGATGGGCCGACTGCCCATGTGGCTGGTTGGTTGAAATTTTTCCACGAGGATTTCTCGCTGCAAGCGGTTCGACCTTACGGTTCCCTTGAAGCAGAAATCAAACGGGCAATGCGGGCTGAACCGTCCCCGTATATTCCGTCCACATCGGATGTAGACGGATCAGAGAGATGGGTAGATGTTGCGACGACTTTGATTGCAGACACTAAGGCTTCTACGGTGAAACGACTCCGCTTGCGGCGCAAGATCATAGTGGGCCATAGCTCTGGAGCTTCTCATACGCCTCCTTCCCCCGCCAACGCTACCCCACGTGGATCTACTGGAGCTGCGTCAGCCTCCCAATTCACAAGCTTCTTTTCTGGAAATGAAAATTCCCACGGGCCCGCCATTGACGGGCAGGATCAGAGCTTTGTGGAAGAGCGGTTCATTGAAGAACCTGTGATGGACCTCGACGGAGTTCTGGTTGATGCTGTCGAGCGTGTCTTGGGACAGAGTGGTTACTCCTCAATGGCACAATCGCGTGCCCCGTCCCCTAATCGTGCTCGTAGAGCCGAAGACAAAGGCCCCTCTAAAGGCGACGAAGCCCCTCCCGTTGAGGTGCCTCGTGGTGAATGCCGCAAGATGGTGCTCGGAGCCCTGGAAGAAGTTGTCCGCCTTGTTACCGCTGAGCACTGCCGTGAAGATGTGGACAGCACACTTGGGCTTGCCGACCGCGAGCGGAGAAGAGCACAATCAGGTGCTGATAATACATTGCGTGAAGGAATCCGAAAATGGCTCCTTGACGTCGAAGAAGTTTGGTGAATCTGCTTTACTAGGCTTTGATTTCTTTACGTTTGCTGATTGCATATCCATGTCTATTGCACTGATGCATGCATTCTTCCTTTTCTTTCCCCTGCCCAATCGTGAGTGCTATGGTCTTGCCTTATTTGTGAGCAGATCTGGGACGGTTTTTTTTTACTGCCTTTCTCTTGCTTTCACTTGTTTTTTTCCCCCGGCTTTGCATCTTGCATCGCGACCTGTCTTGAATATGATACCCACCCACTTCGTACTGAAGCTTAGTTCTACTAGTGGGGGCTTTTCCCCTGCGTTCTTAATATGACTATTGACCAATTTGATGCAAATGATATTCAGTTCCATGCAGTTCATTCTCTATTTGATTCGAATTTAGGCAACATAAACCAGTTTCACACTGTGACCACTTGCTTCAACCTTTCCATCCGCAGTAGGGGAAACTTTGATAGTCTTTAAGATCTCGTCTGACTGATTTGAGTTGACAATTTCGACGGTAGTCTCACCGCGCAGGCGACCATTGACCAGCAACTCAATCCCCGACAAGGCATCATCCTCAGGCGCCTTGATCGTGGGATTGGTAACAGTAACAGAGCCGGGACGGATCAGAATGGGCATAGTATCAAAGTCATGAGTCTCTGTATACCAACGACCAGACTCATAAGACTTGGAATGGTCAAACCACGAGATCCATTTCCCAGCCTCGTCATCGGACGACTCAGGCACATAGAAGGTAACCTCGCCCTCCTCCGTAAACACTGGCGCAATCAGCAAATTCGGCCCAAACATATACTGTGTATCAATGGCATATGTGTTGAGATCCTCAGGGAACTCCAAGAAAAGCGGCCTCATAAGCGGTGTGCCGCTTTCATGGCCCTTTAGCGCTTCCTGCAGAATATACGGAGTAAGCAAGATCTTGCGCTTAACGCAGTCCCGCAGCACATCCGAGCAATCCTCGCCATAGATCCAAGGCACACGGAACGAAGACGATCCATGCAGACGCGAGTGTGTAGACATAAGTCCAAACTGCACCCAGCGCTTGTACAGCGCCGGTGGCGGTGTACCCTCAAATCCACCGATATCAGACGCCCAGAAGATATAGCCGGACAGCATCAGGCTCAGTCCGCCGCGAAGCGACTCTGCCATAGCCTCAAATGTGCTCTCGCAGTCGCCACCCCAGTGAACGGGGTACGCTTGTCCGCCTGGTGCGGTACTGCGAGCGAAGAGGAGACCCTGGTTGCGCCCGACCCCCTTGCTGAGCGTCTCGTACACGGTCTTGTTGTAAAGGAGAGCGTAGTAGTTGTGCATACGCTCTGGGTCTGCGCCATTGTGGTATTGGACGCCCTTGGATGGGATGCGCTCGGCAAAGTCGGTTTTGAAGCTGTCGACACCCATCTCCATTAGTCGCTCCAGGTGGGCGTTGTACCACTTGCAGGCAGCGGGGTTTGTGAAGTCGACAACGGCCATGCCGGCTTGCCACATGTCCCATTGCCATACTGAGCCATCGGTGCGCTATAAATCGTTAGGCACTGTTTCTTCTGGTGTCATTTTCTTGTGTGCCACATACCTTGATGAAATATCCGTTCTTCTTGCCCTCTGCAAATAGTGGCGATGCCTGGGCGATGTAAGGGTTGATCCAAACACTAATGCGGAGACCGCGCTCCTTGAGGCGCTTGAGATATCCCAGGGCATCGGGGAACATCTCCGAGTCGAAGTCGAAGTCACACCACTGATAAGACTTCATCCAGAAGCAATCGAAATGGAAGACACCTAGGGGGATGTCGCGGTCACGGAATCCATCAAGGAACCCAGTGACGGTATCTTCGTCATAGTTGGTTGTGAAACCTTTCGAACAATGTCAGCTTCTTTCATTCAGATTTCCAGGGCAGATGATATTCCAAACTCACTCGTAGTCAGCCAGAGGTTATAACTCCACGACGGAACCAAGGCCGGTCTGCCAGTCAAAGCAGTATACCGATTCAAAATATCCTTAGGTGTAGCTCCATACACAACAAAGTATTCAATCTCCTCGCCAGGCACAGAGATGTTGACGCGAGTCGTGCGCTCAGACTGCACTTCCAGACTGACCTTACCAGGGTGATTGACGAAAACACCATATCCCTTAGAGCTGATATAGAAGGGGATATTCTTGTAAGCCAACTCGGACGAGGTACCGCCATCCTCATTCCAGATATCGACGGTCTGTCCGTTCTTGACCAGAGGCCCAAACCGCTCTCCAAGACCATAGACCTTCTCGCCAACGCCGAGGTCAAGTCCTGCGAGCATGTATCCCTGGCGCTCGGCATAGATTCCGTCATCGTAGCGATGCTTATCAGTGCGCTGGTCGCGCACGTATCCGATAGAGCGGAAGGATTGTCCGGTAAGTTTCTTGCCACTTGGAGAGCGGTATTCCAGGGCCAGATCATTGGCGGAGGTGTTCACGGCCAAATTGAGTGGCCCGCTTGTGTAGTTGAGTTTCTTTTCTTCCTTGTCGTGCTGGATCTTGGTGTGTCCAGTGGCCTTGTTTAGGTGGTAGTGAGGACCGTTGTCATTTTGACCGTCCCTGGATGCTGTTAGTATACTCTGCGGAATTACTTTCAAACATGCAGAGCTCCGGGGTAAACACTTGAAACTACTCACCAGTGGACAAGCTTCACGCCGATGACTCCCTCCAGTGGCGAGGTGACCCGCGCGGAGACAGTTGCTATAGATCTTGGTTAGCATCTGGAGTTTTGTACCATGGGGGTATTGAAAACGCACGCGAATTAAGAGTGTGTCCTCGGTGTGCCTGAAACTTGTTCAACAGCAGATTGACAGTGTCATCTTCAATGGCAAATCGCTCTACGTTGCTCATCCACTCGATGTTGACGCCCTCCTATACGATCCAATTGCATGTCAGTACTCATTCTCCCGGCTTCATTGAGTGAATTCTATTACCTGCAGGCACCACATGCCAGCGGTGAACTTCATCTTGAGGGGAAGGAGAGGAACTCTCGATTGGGATCCTTGTTCTTGAAATTGGGAGTGCACAAGCTACCCCCGGAGATACCTGGTATCTTCGAGCTTTGGATAGAAATGAAAAGCAGAGTGAAAGAAGAAACTGAATGACAGAGGAGAAGCAAGCTCTTTTTGTTGTACGCCGGTACTGGGGCACGCCTGACGTGCTCAGTTCGACACGGGGTATCATCCGCCATGGCCTGATTTTGAATAGCGTGCATTTTCCAGCAGAGAGCTCCGCTATTTCTGGAGCTTGGGGTAGAGATAAGGCGGGGCAAATCCTCTGGAATTTTGGCGATGCCGTTGGGATTGGGCGTCCACCAACCAGAGTACGTGGGTAAACTTCGGCTGAATGGCTGATATCAGGCTAAAATGGACGGTGGCTTGCGCTAGCGAGGGGTATCGCGCGAAATCGAGTAGAGACAGGGATATTTTGGCATTCCCCCGAACTTGAGATTGGAAATCAGAAAAAAAAATACGTATGGAGATCGTGGGGGTGGAATAAAATCGAGTTTCACGGCTTTTGCCTTACACAATTAGAATATAGCTAATATCGCATTTCATTTGGGTTCAAAATCAACAGAGCATGGGTATTTTCGAATTAGATCAAGGGTCGTAAGCTGCCACTCCTAGGGCTTGCATTGTAGCTAAGACTTTCCCCTCGAGCTCTGGCCCGCGTAACTTCCGGTGACATCAGTCCCTCGCGCGACTCACGGGTAATCCGGGATGGTAACCCTGGCGGCGGTGAGATATGATGACTGACCACACTGGCAGGAAGCTCGAGCGACGGGATTGATGCATCCATTAAGTTTGTAGTAGTCGATTCCACCTTCGTGGACAATGGACGGGTATGAGACTCCGAATAAAATTGCTCCAATTGGGCTGAATCATTGCAGAACTCAGCGAGCCCGTTAAGAATATGTTCTGGGGCCCGATACAGGTTCGCCGAGTCAATGTTTGTTGATCCGGATGGGGTAAGTGGGCTTCCGATGCTGCCAAGGTCATGAACGGGCCGGGTAATTGGAGAAAGTCGCGGTGAGACGCGGTCAAGTCCATCGTGATTCGGTGCACGACCTCGGAAATCGGACCGATTGTGGTTCTCGAAACGGCCTGCGTCTCGACTCGCCGTGCTACGGGTACTCACCAGCCGATTGGCAAGCAGGAGGAAATCGCCTTCGTCGGTGATCTGGGCCAGGATGCTTCCGGTTCGGTGGATGAATTGCGGATAACGATAATCTGGCTTCCCCCAGGAGTAGGATACTTCAACGTCTGCCGGGAATGCAGAGGAGGCTTCGAAGTCTAGCACGAAATCAAACTTCCGCAGTATGGCCTTCTGGTAATAAAGGCGATCCGGTGGTCCTGGTTGCGCAAATGACGCATTGTTGAATACTGTGTGGAGTGGTCCTTTGGGTGGTGGGACCTTGAGTTTGATCTCGTAGGGTTTCCGGAATGGCTGCGTCTTATCGATAGCACAGGCTTCGGCGATCGGCACCTGAACCAATTTCAGCCCAAATTTTTCAGCAGTTGAGGCCCAAGAAAGCACGGTATCTTCAATCAACTTGGGGGTGGTGCTCATCCAGCTGAGTTCGATATGGAAGCAATTCTCCGGGTTATGAAGTCGGTCCCAGTGAAGGTCAATCACTTCTGGCCGATTCGACCGCTTGCGCGGATCAACATCGTATTTCATAGATTTGGACAGCATGATAGCGACTTTGTTCTTCGCCTTGGAAGGAGTACTGGGAGTCTGTGGTATGCGCTCGTCGATGCTGTCTGATCGAGCTTTGAGGCTGAGGGGAGAGTCTTTGGCAGTGCCAATGGCCGGCGTCGACGGCATCGATTTGTCTGATCTAAGCTGAGGGAACCAACTTCCTCGAGACTCTGGACGAGTAACACGATAATCGGCACACACTTGATAGAAATAGTTGCCATCTCGGAAATTGTGTCTCTTCTCCACGTGTTGGAACAAGCCATGATCGATCAATTCGTTGCCAAATTTGACTGCTTGTTCACGGGTATCGATATCACGTATGTTTTGTAACAGCCAGGTTGTGAATTCAAACCCGATGAAGCAATTGTAGTGTAACCTCCAATGCCACCGTCGATCCATCATCCGGACGCCCTTTTCGCCTTGGATGATTTGCGCCAACGACATAAGACTGATGCTGGATCTGTCCAACAATTCCGACTCGGGTAAGAGCTGAGCAGGGGGGGTTGTCAAGTCCTGGATCAGTGAGAAGCAAACGGTCTAGCTCTGCTGTAACAATTTCCGATGGATTGCGTGTTTGGTACATGATGTTCAAAGGATTCTGATCTCGTTTGGGATTCGACGTCTCGAAAAGCTTTTCTTCTGGCGACACATACTTGAACCGTTGCCAGATATGGGTTAGTTGGCTGATCCCGAGCAAATGAATTTCTTCCTCGTTATCCTCATGGGAAGTTTGCAAATTGCGCCGAGAATTGGCATGAAGCTGGAGCGGAATCAAGACGTAACGAACTCGCCAGAAGTGCAGCTGCTGTGCTGGGTTTTGGAGATAATCTCGATGACCAGCCACATAGTTATCGGCATAGTTCCAATTGTACTCTTCGGAGGTTGGATCCAGCTTTATATCCTTCACTTCGTATTCCGCGCTCAATATTGTTTTCATAGCCGGTTGATATAGTGTATAGGTAGGCTTTCTGGGAGAAGTGACCACCGCAGAATTTTGATGCGTGAAGCGGGTCACTTCCACTTCTCCATCTTGGATGCAGACAAGTCGATGAATTGTGTTGCCCTTGGAGAGAAACATTGTGAGCCCATCGCGCTCTAGACCTCGGAAATCGAAGACGTTCAATGATTCAAGGGCAGGCTGCGCGGATACTTCAGCCACATGTTTTCCGACAATAATTTGGAAGCCATGAGAAAGCCGGAGCGAGATCATTTCTCGTAAAAGCACCCCACGTGTCTTTGGTGCTTCAATGCCTTCAGAATCTTCATTTGGGAAGACACGATATGGCGTCTGCAGATAGTCCGAGGCAAGCACACTAGCTGTTGGAAATTCTTCCGTCGTCAGTGGAAGCACCGCGGGAGACTTCAAACTCTTCCACTTTACCACGGCCACATGAGGAGGACGGGGATACGCATGTTGCCAGCGGCCAAACCAACTAGTATCCCGCAGCACGTCTTTAGGGGTATTGCATGGGTTAACAGACCGGACCCATGGAGACAGAGCTTTGCTGGGGCAGTTTCGCGCATATGGCTCGCGTGGACTATGGTTGAGAGTTATTTCGATCTTGTGATCGTTCGGATGATGTTCACCATGGCTCCGACTGACTTCGTTTGGTGCGGTCTCTACCGGCGGTGATCCATTGGGGCCCACCTGCTCTGGCTGTTCGGATTCTTTTGGTGAATTTTTGGGGGGTATTTTGATAGAAATCGGCTTAGCAGGGGTCTGAGAAACCTTGGCAGGTGTTGAAGATGTCGAAAGTACCTCGAAGACTGATGTAGTCGATGCTGTTTCTGACGGGCTCAAAGAAGTGATACTCCTGGCATCGGACATTGACCCAACAGGAGTTCTTTGGTTTGTCATGGGCAAAGCGCTGGCATGTTCCACATTGACTCCGGTGCTTGCTAAGGCTCTCGGGGGTGTAGCGCTCAAGCCTCGAAGCGCAAAACTAATCGTCCGAGAAATCCGCGAGGCCATGGGCGCCGGCGTCTTCTTCAACACTGGTTTTATGGGAGACATGCTCTTGCCCGAGCTTGGGCTTCTTGGTGTAGTCATATTTGAGTCAATTCTTCGAGGCCCAGAGTGCACAGAATCGTTCTCGTCAGCTGGATTCGTTTCATGATGGCGGAGGCGTGTGATAGAGCGGGCGGATAGCCGTTCATGCACTCCACCACCAGCAGCCTGGACTTCTGATTCACTGGGTCGCTTTGCCTTGGGCGCTTTGGTAGTCTGCTGCCGTTTCGGAGAGACAGCAAAAAGGGTTTCATCGTATTGGTCCATCCAAGACATCACTGCCTTGCGTGAACTCTGCATATCTCGAGTCTGCGATTCATTTTGGTCTGCCATGTTCTGGATAAAGGATTCCGGGCGGAGGCTATCACTGAGTTGTGCCTTGAAAGATGAAGGGTTCGTGAAACGGGTTTTGGGGGGGAACACGACTAGCTGAGCTGTAACTGGGCCAAGGTCCACGAGGTCTCGTTCCACGGCGACCTTCAGTAAGGTAAGGGATTGTGATATTCGCTTGTTCACTTTCCATGACTCCCATCATTTGGATCTCATACATGCGCACTCGTGGCGTGAAAGCCTTTGATGGCCGAGTGACAGTAAGCGAGATGGGCGCATTTGGATCTTTTTTCAAGATGCGCCGGGCCTCTCGATATGTTTCAGGGTTCCAATAGGAGATATCGAGCCAATGAGGGATTCCAAAGCTCCAATCTTTGGCTTGGGGAGTTGTCCGTTCCCTCATTCTGGTCGCGGACAGGTATGAGCTTGGAGAAAGATATGAGGATCTGCTAACAACGCTTGACAGGGAATGATGTATCTCAGAAGACATCCTATCCCTGTTAGCTTCATTGAACCTAGCCCCTCCCGAATCCCCAGAATCTCGGTCTACTGGCTCCCGGTATTTGAAGAGTGGCACAGAATGGAGAGGCATCGGACTCAAACAGACCAAGTCAATTGCTATGCCTCGATTCGCAAGAGCTTCTGTTGTAGAAGTTAAGGACTCGTAAGAGACCTCGAAAACGCCGCTACCGGGGGTGATAACAATGATCGAGGTGCCAGTGTGGACCATGTCTCGATCTATATGGTCGAAAGCCAGGTGAGCAGAGGCGAGATGAATGGCCTCTAAGATGTTTCCTCGTAAAGCTGAACTTGGGTGCCCGGCAATGGTCGCCATGTTTGGCTTGGAAGGGATCTTGATACCACTACCAGTTGCAGCATCAATGTCATCCGTTTTCAGGATTGACACATCTCGCAAAAAGGTCCTGAATTCTCTCTTCAGCTCATCTAAGATGGTTGTCCAATGACCGCTTGCCATATCATTTACTACCACACGGTAGAAGTCTCGAGTTGGAACTTTGTTGGGTCCGGATCTGCTGTTCAAGCTCCCAGCGCCGAGTTTGGGTTGAGTGGGATTCTTAGGCCTATCATACTCGACCCGGGTAAACAACACAATGGTAACCAGATGTTTTGCGTCCGAATTAGCCCATCGCTTGAAGAGCTCCGGGAGAAATCCATTGATAACCCGACTGAAGAGGATGTCCCCAGTCCCCTCCGAGTCAAAATCCCACATTTCTTTCGACATTTGGATGAATAGAACATATTTGGCTGATTCGCTTCGAAAAATAGGGATCGTTTGTGGCGAAAAATATCCCGAAAGACATTTTCTTTCGCGGATAAAGATGTTCTTCACAGTAGCTTTGATGCTCCCCATGAACATGATTTTTTGTCCTTTGTATATGATTTTATCTGATAACTCCGACATGACTAGTCTCCACATGTCCGATCGAACCATGTACTGATCGCGAAAGGCAATGTCGACATGAGACGCCGCACATTGGTCTCGATCCACAATCGATAATAGAACTTGCGTTCTATTCTTAAAACCAAAGATATTGGCGATGTTGTTTGTTACCGAAATCTCCAATTGAGGATTTCGAGCCTTGGTTTCTGGCGGAAGGGCCTTGACCACAAATAGACAACGGTTCTGCAATGGAGTCTTAAATTTTGAGGTGCTATCAGCTTGGGACGCCGAGTTGAGTTCCACATGGCCTTCGCGGGAAGCTTTTAAAGCGGCCTCGGGCTTTAGGGTAGAATAACTAGCATCGCCAGGCCCCCGCACGGGCAGGATCTCGACGACATCTCCAACTTGCACTTCAGTCTCGCCGAAAGCCGACGGGTTCAACAAAATCTCTTCACGCGAAAACGTCTCATCGTGGACCCAGAGCGCACATTGATGTCGCGTCCAGCTTGTTGAGGAGAGCCGAACAGTCCTATCATCTGCGGCTTGGTCGTGGTCGTGGTCACGGTGCGAGGTCTCCAGTGAGTGGGTGGAGCTGCTTTCCAAGCTCGCCGCGCTCACTTGCCTCAGGTGCGACCGCCGCATGGGCCCGCGCATAGACATTTCTATGCGCCTTCAAGCTTGCATTTCACTGCAATCGGGTATTTGAAATATCAGACTGCGGCCATGAGTTCTTGCAAAGAGATAGTCTTCGCAAAGGGGAGATACGATGATCACGTGAGTGAATCTGGTCACATGATATTCGTGCCTGAGGCAAAATATAGACTTCGATCCAAGTCATCCAAGTGCAGCTGTTGGCTTCCTACGGGCGACTATTGGGACCACCGATATATGACTCTCTTATTGGTTCATATTGCCAGGCAGTATTCAAATACACTCTTACTCTACAAGAACTAGTTAGTATATTGTTACGAATTGAAGTGTATCAAATTGAAGCTTATCAAAAAGATCGAAACACAAATTAGATCCTTTATTTCAAAGGTTCTACGTAGAAGTGTCTCAGGCTTAGAGTATGCTTTTCCCGCCTTTTTCTACTATCTACCTATAGACTAGAAAGGGGGAAAATATCTTGAGGACATCTAAGAAAAATAGGAAGCCCACGAAGAAACATATTTAGAAGACTGGTGGGAAGACTAGCTAATGTACTGTGAAAACTCCTACAAGAAAGATATCATTTTAAGCAGCCATTTACCCTTGTATGTTGTATAGAAATAGAAAAGAAGCTCGGTGGAATGAGTGTATAGGTATACTCAGAGATATATACTTAGAGAGGGCGGTTAGGAAATATGCGGGAGGCCGTATCCAATGAGAGGTTGGTGGTCTCAATATTCTAAGTCTCATAGGGATCGAACCAATGGACTCAATGGTCCATATATCCTTCCGCTGTCCCAAGTGCGGAGGAAACTATAAGCAAAATGGCCGGATCTGGGAGGAAACAAGCAGTCAATTGCTAGTTCTGAGCACTCCTCAATTGTGAATTTCTAGAGCCAGCCCTACACGTAAAGTAAACATGGATCGATAGCATGTTCAAGCAGACCGCCTGATGCATATTTCCTAGGGACACTAGGCACTATATTATAAGTAAATCTTCTCCCCGTTGGACTACATCAATCACAAAGGTCACTTAAGTGCATGCCCAGGTGTGATTAACCAAAGCGGAGTGATAAGATCAGAACAAATTGTTTGGAAGCACGTCAAGCATTGTAAATAGTAAACAGTAACAGATGTATGTACGAAATAGTAGTAGTGAGCATGATTATGATTGTATCGCACACGGCATATGTTCTAATTGTGATTTTTGTTAGAGAGGGCTAAAACGACCGATCATAGGGTGCGTATGTCGGGATGGCATTTTCAAACTGGCGTCTATATCATTCATTGAGCCATTAATGTTGGAGTCTCCCTCTCACACACAACCAACGGTGGTTCAACAGACCAACACACACTTACACACACAAAACCCCCGTAGGGGAGCAATGCCTCAGAGTTTGACCGAAAAGGTAAAATGTAAGCCACCTGTCTTAATCTTGTCTTCGGCGAGACTCTCCATTGGAGTGAAAGCGGATTTGAAGGCGGGTGTCTTGTTTTTTTTTGGGACATGCTTGGTCATGAGCCATGACCCATTGAGTCGATTACACACAAGCAAAGCAAAGACGCAGGTGGCTGAATTTCCGCAGGGTTTTCCGCGCCATCGACCCAGATCGGAAATTCGAATTTTGCTCAACCAGGCGGCAGAGAATGATCTTGGTGTCTTCGATAGGACCTGTCAAGTCTACCTAATTGGTTCCATTTCATACGGAGTTGATTTCCGGGTGGCCCCTGTGTCTTGCCTATCGTCTCCCCAAACCCAAAATGAACAACAACTCTTCATTACTCCCAACGGAGGTCTTGGTCTGTTCCAATTGATCCCTGGAGGCTTTTTAGAAGAATGAGTACTGAGTGGTGGGAATTTTGCGTGTGTTGCACTTACAGAAAAAGCCAGAGCAACGGGCGCATTGCCCCCAAGTCCATCCTTATCCTCGCGTCTTAACAGATTCAAAATTACAACTGCTAATACTTGGTGAGAAGCTTTTGAGGATGCTTCTTACTCGGTGGTTGGAGATTGTCGTTGATGTCTCGATTCATGCACTGGCGCATGTCATGGGGAGTGTCAGTGCCGTGAAACAATGGAGAAGCTGAGAGCGTGTGAAAATCCACCGAAATCGCCCAAGCGCGCCCAACCATCAGGCCTTTTTCATGCGAGGGAGGAAACTATTCCGGACTCCTTTTTGATGATGTTGCGTGTGAAAGTAGCTCTTTTCTTGCTTAGTGCACTTAAGCCCTCCGTGATGCAACCAGGTGGCGCACCCACCACTCGACCTTTGTCATGCAAGCTCACGACCTCCTCCGGTCTTTCAACATGTCATTAAGGTACTAAAGTCACCATGACTCCCTCGTGGCAGCATTGTATAGTTCAGTCACATCCACTACTTTTGGGCGCAGCTTTCGATGTGGTGTGGACATCACGATTTCATATCACGGTCAAATCATGACGTCCTTCCCCAGACATACAGTGACATCTTCTGGGTTGAATTACTCAATGCAGAGTTTTGGTCCTCAAAAAGCAAATGCCTTGCAGCTCGCAGCTGGTGCTAGCAAGCCTGCAGACATCCAGCTGCCCGACTTTCCACCGAGGTTGATCGCGCAATCAAACACGCCTGTTGAACTGTCGTACCGTTGGTACAAGGGACCCAGAAATTCATAATGAGTATTTCTATCAATGGGGTGGTGATGACCTGTTGTCTTGCTTACCTATGAGGGATGGATGATCGTGCTGGTATTGGTGGGTCTTCCATTCTGGTACCAAACAAGTTTCGGCCCACACTGAGGCATATTGGAAGGATGAGAAGGACGGCGCAATTGAAAACAAAGCGCTGGGCGTTTATTCAAAGAGGTCTCCTCATAAGCTTCAGTATTTTTGAGTCTGAAAGCACAACGACGACCCTCAATCAGACCTTTGCAGCAGCCTTGAAAGGGAGGGCAAACCCGGGGATAGCGCCACTGCGGACAATAACCCGTTCTTATTACCAAAACAATGTTGTGTTGATGCAATGGATTCATGATGTATCATGTCAGACCCTCAAATACGATGGTGGTATGAATGTCAAAGCATCGGGATTTGGAATACCGGTGATTCTCGGACCGAAAGAGGGCAATACGATTCAAAACGTACAATTTCACAACGGAACTGTCCCTGGGACAGAGAGAACATCAGTCTCGCGTGGCCTATCAAGGAGCATATTTCTGATCGGTATGCAATTTCCGGATGCTTCAAATACAAGGAAACCCCCAAGAGGCTCGTACAGATCACATATGACATTCATGCGATACAGTCCATATCCACAGTATGGAAGGGCTTACAATATATCCATGCTGCGTCAAAAATACCATCCAAAATGGAAAGCCTAGCCCTTATTGGTACCGCTGCCCTTAGTGGCGAACCGGTAAAGACCTCCGACATACCAGAAGGCCTCATTTCGGTCGACACCCACTTGTGAATCTCCACCGTACGGGGATCTTCTACTTGGAGTTTTGGCTTTTTTTTTTTTTTACTATTGTGCCAGGGGGGGGTTGGACACTTCTTCCGCGGTCTTCTAGTGTGGCCTCTGAGTCGGTGCTCCGCTAGCGTGTTGCGTCACGCGAAACCCCATTTTTATAATCAGATCCTTGAAGATATCTGGCGACATGGATGAGAACTTTGGTGCCCCGTATTCCGAATATTCAAATCTGGAAAATGAACTCAATTACGGCTGGGCTATGCCTGAATACCCGCAGCTTTACCCCGTCGAACTCACTGAAGTTGTCCATCGTCGTGATATCCGTGATAATTCTCTATTCAAGACCGACCGCGTGAATCCCAAGGTGGCCATCCCCCGAAACTCACAACCCAGTAGTTGGACTAGCAGTGGTCGAGTCAGTCAGGCTTGCGAAATTTGCCGTGAACAAAAAGCCAAATGTAGTGGCCATCGCCCAGCCTGTCATCGGTGCCTGGATTCCGGTGTCCAGTGCTCGTATGGCGACCGAAAAAAGGAGAAGCTGGCAAAGTACACAACATATTCCTCAGTTTCAACATCCTCTAACCGGTGATAGGCAGCTGAACCATCTAACTACACGTGTTGAAACCTATGATGCTCTACTTCGCGATATTTATCCCAAACTTGACGTCTCGTCGGCCCAGCAGGTCGATCAAACGCTGAGGGAGCTAAATGCACGCACTCCACTCACTCAAGTCATTACCCCTACCCAGACCCCTGCCCCATTCATCCATCCATCAGATCCAATCAATCATTCGGTTCTTTCTCCTGCATATCCAGGTATATCTATCTCCTCGGGGAATGTAGACTATACCGAAGAGGACTTCAACGGAGATGAGAAAGTACAGACAACGGGATTTGTGGGCGAGCACTCGGAGATGGCATGGTTGTACAGACTCAAACGCACTCTCGATCATAACACTTTGAAAGTAACCAAAGAGAACCCCACACGCCCTTCGATCTCTTCAGTGAACTACTTCCAAGATGACTCGGAAATTCTGATTCTTGACGATATCGACCTCGCATACCGGCCTCCGCAACAAATCGCCAATAAGCTCGTTGACACCTACTTTCACGTCGTTCATCCTACCTTCCCGGTCATTGGCAAGGCAATATTTTTGAATCAATATCGATCCTTCTATGCGAATCCGAACGTGAGACCTGGGAAACGTTGGATTATAGTGCTAAACCTGGTGTTTGCCATTGCTACCAGACATTCCTCTCTCCTCGATCAGCCTCTGACAAATTGCGATACCCATCGGAATTATCTTGCACGCGGGTGGAGGCTGAATGTAGGTAATGTGTTGCTAAATCATCCCGACTTGCAACAGGTACAGGTGGAGGTCTTGGCTGCTTTTTACCTCCTCTCGGTTGGCCAAATAAACAGGTTGCTTTCTCTTTACCTCATCCATTCTTGCATGATCGATTTCTGATCTGTGGGACTTGTTCATCTAGGTCATGGAGACTCATTGGAATTGCGGTTCGATCGGCGGTGACTATGGGTCTGAATATTCGAAGCGAGAGCGAGACCATAACATACCGTTCGAAGGAACTTCGATATAGGGCCTGGTGGGCGCTTTTTATGTTGGATATTGTGCTATGTGAGATTACAGGCCGTCCACCTAGTACTGGCGGCAGTTTTTGCTCCACTCCCTTCCCTGTTCCCTTCTCAGAAAGCGATTTTGGGAATACCCGTGTTGTGCAACTTATCACCGACCAAAGGACTCGAAGTGCCTTTTTTACCTCTCTGATTTCCCATGCCACCGAGGCTTCATCAATAGAGAGTATGACTCTGAGCACCCCAGGGAAGCAAGGGTTGGGCAATGGAAATCGAGACGAAAGGGCCAATCAGATGGGGACAGAGGATGTGACACCCAACTCCTCTCTGTACTTTCTGTATGCAGTGGATTTAGCTCATGTCCTACGGGAGGCTATTGATGTTCTGTATGCTCCCAGAGCAATGCAACAGTTATGGCACGAGATCGAAATTGCCATTTCCACTCTAAACGACCATGCTGATAACTGGTTGTCTCGTCTCCCGGCGGAGTTTGATTTTAGAACGTCAGAAACAACTCATCAATTTATACAGCATCGTGCCAGTCTGGCTTTCCGATTCTACGCCACCAAGCTGATCATCTTGCAGCCCTGTATCCGCCGTCTATCCCAGTCATCTGAAGCAAGCTCACCGGGAACGGTGTGTGACCATATGGCAGCCTTGTGCGTTCAGATGGCAGATCAAATGCTAGAACTGCTGCCCGAGGAGCCAGACTTGACTTGGCTGTATGGCATCGCTCCATGGTGGTGCATCCTGCACAACATCATGCAGTCGACTACCATCCTCCTCACAGAGCTCTTCACGCGCACTCATACAGGCACCACCAAGGCTGTACATATTACCGAGAAGATCAAGAAAGCAATTCGCTGGTTAAAAGTAATGTCGACCAAAGACCTTTCCTCGCAGCGAGCCTGGCTTATCTGCATGGAGCTTCTTTCACGGCATGGCTCAAAGTTTGGGTTCGGTGTCAACACCGAGCTCTAGGCACATGGATTTCAACTTCTTTTGGGAGTTCAATCTACAGCCAGAATTAATTGGTGGGGAAAGTGACTTGAGGCGATTTGTCTGCTTGCTGGTTACAACGACATATACCCTGCAACTTGGTCCATCCATCACGAGTTCATCATGATGCCGGAAATTCTTGTTCGTGTGATGTCGCAATTATAATTTCGGTTTATCTTTTACGATTCTCTTCGCCATGGTTGCGTCTCGCTCCAGCAGGTTTCTCTCTTTTCGTACGATTCATCTCTTGCGTTTATTCGCAAGTATCTTTCTCTGGTATACACGATAGTGGTTCTACCTGTATACCCCCTCCAAGCATTATGAGGTCACTTTTCAACTCAACTAAGACCAGAATAAGCAAGTCAACAATGTGCGCATCATTATGAATATCTCATTTGCTCTGGCCAACCCGATCAAAACTCATGACATGTATATAAATTCTCCGCCTCGTTGAAGAACGTATCAACAGGATGTAACAACCCAAGGTCGATATCTGACTGCGCTAGAAAATCTTGCATGGTCGGCTCTAAAAATGCCATTTCAGTCGTGTACCCACTGACGTTTTCTCTCAATGGATAGGAATATGCATCAATGCCATGGCTGTTCACAGGCTGGGTGGCGGCAGAAGCAAGGATATCATGTGTTGTTGGTATTAACGATGGCGGGGGTATAGATGTTGATGGGTTGAGTGCCAAGGTGTTCAGGAAGGAAGTAGTGGCTGTTCCCAGACCCGATGAAGGCCCAGACAAAGCTAGCGTGCCAGCGCCAGATGGCGCATCATCACTAGCATTGGCGTTGATATTGGAAGTCACTCCTCCAGGGGCAGCCAACTCAATACTCCCCCCGCCTCGCCTCACTCCCCGATACGCAGCCAAGCAGACCTTCACTTGTTCAAGATTATGATAAAATTCCGCCGCAGCCAGATTCCCGTTTTCGGTCATGGAGCGCAGCAGATCCAGCGCTGAGTCAAATCCCGTCATGTCCGTCGGGCTGCCGATCGGAACAAAGCTGGACATTGCCAAGATCAAAGCCGAGGAAAAGAGGTAGTGGGCGTGGAAGTAGCCAAAGGTTGGCATGGATCCATTGATCCACCGTGTCAGAATCATCGAATGAGAGTGTCGCGCTGCATGGATACATGCTTCGCTTAGAGTAAGGACGGGCTGGGAAACGGATACGTCTTCGTTCTCACTTTCGGACCCAATCCCAATCCCGATCTTGTTGGTACTATTGACGGAATTGGGGTGGGGTTTGCCCTTTTTGCTTAGTGTCATCAAGAGGTGTAGTAGGGTTGGGCGCGTAGTTAAGATCACACATTGGTTGAAGGCCATGTGAAGGGAGACGATGGGTTTCTTGCTCGATTCCAGGTCTTCCATGTTCAGTCTAAGTGATTCGGGAAGTGTCTCCACCCAGTGTTTCAGGGCTTTGAGAAGTTTTTGAACGCGCTGGAGAAAGGTCTCTTGGTACTTTCTCCGGCTGTAAAGTCTCGTAATTGTCTCGCCAACTATGCGTGCCAGCTTTATGTTGGCCGTCATGTATTCTGAGTCGGAGAGTTCTTCTTCGTGGCGCCAGCGGGGGGATATAGTTGATGGCATGTCGACGTGGATATCCTCATCGAGTATTTGCATTGGGAGTCCCATTTTGGACCCCCACATCCGGTCGAAGATATAGATTGTCCACCATATTTGGATGCGGTGTTGGCGTTCCACTGGGTCGATAAGCTGTGATTCTGGGATATTGTGATTCAATCCGATGGTCAAACCCATCCGCATGGCGTTTCCGATCAGGATGTATGCTGAATGACGCCGATTGAGATAGTATGAAAAAAGAGACTTGGGATATGGTAAGTATTTTGATTTCAGACAATGGTACATGTTGAGCCACATACCAACAATAGTAGGGTTTCCAAATGTGTAACGCTGGTTCTCTCGGGCAGCATCTGGACTAACCCCATCGAGCGGGCAAAGTATGACGTGCCTGGTACCCTGGAGCCAGAATTGGGCTCGGATCGGATTGAATACGCCTGACCGAAGGCGAACAGGGCGAAGAATTTACACTTGTTAGCCGTGCAATCAAAATCTTGAGTCTGGTAAATCTCTTCCAGTTTATCTAACGTCGACTTGCGCATCATGAGGTGGTACAGATGCCCGATCTGGTGGATTGCTATCCGGACCAATAACCGAGCATGGTGAAGACTCGGCCACTGGATATCGGCTTCGTTCGCAGTGGTTATTGCCTCTTCACGCTCGTACTGTGTTCGGGGAATATGTGGCATTGCGCTATTTCCTGACAAGAAACGGCGGAACCGTGTTGCGAATGCTGAACATGCTGCCTCGCCGATGTAGATAGGTGGCGAGGAAGGATCATACCGGTGGAACCAGGCTCGATCTCCAATCAATGGATTCTGTATGCCTGTTCCATCAGGAACATCTGCTGTCCTGGAGGGGCGTCTGCTGTACACCTTAGTATATTGTGTGGGTCATGCCGTAGAAAGTCAAGGGGTGTCTACCTCTGCGAGGGGTCGTTGGTCTCGGCAACGTGGGCCGAAGTGATCGACCGTTCCTTGAGCCGCTGATTCTCTGCAAGTATTTGATCTAGATAGCTAATCAGACGAGAATGTTTCAGCTTCTGATCTGACACGCGTGATAGACAAGGCTTTTTTTAAAAAAGAAAAAGGCTTGATCTAATAGTATCCTGTGGCTTGGTTTGCATACTTCTCACTAACTCTCACCTGGCGATCTCGAGTAGCGTAGGCACATTCATCAGCGAGTCCTACCGCACGACATTTGCTACATGGCTGGTCTCCGGAACACTTGATTTTATGCGAGTGGCATCTTTGACAGCTATCAGTGCCATGCGTCAGTGCTTGGTGGCTTCGGCTTGAAATATCTTATCTGAGATACGCACGCGACAAATTTCCTTCTTTGGGAGTCTCGACCTTCCTGTCCCTCATCTTGTGTAGGAGCACGTCTTTTTCGTGTCATGTTGACAAATCCTTTATTTTTGGAGCATTTCAAACGGCGCGAAAGATGTTTGCATGCGGTCGGAGATTTGGAAAGCCTTTCCCGAGCGTTCGGCAACTTTGGGGGATCGCCGAGATGAAACTGACTAATCAACTTGCTGGCCCGCTGCGCTGGAATCTTGCAAGGCCTGCTCAGATGAGCATAACTGCATACCCAAGTGGGAACAAATAACGTGTACTCCAGATATTGGGGTTTTTCTCTTTTAGAGTCTCCATATGGCGAAATAATTTGCTGTCAATCTCTATTATTATCCACAAAATAATCGAGCATGCCTGTTTATCGCGATCTATACATCAACTCTATTTATCTATCATGCAGGCATTTCATATCGCCTATGATGCAAAAGAAATATGCAGGGGGGAAGCGCCATATCGTTGGAATCAAGACTTCGCATCAAGGCCGAACTTTCTCTCAGACCATCGTTGCATATCAATGCCCCATTTGGTGATAGCAAGTACTAGAAAACCACTTATTATAGCGAAAAATACGCCTGGGTAGACGGTTAGATACATTTCTATCATGACATTATTGGGAAACTCACAGATTGTAAATGTCCATCCTACTCCGATAGCACTGATCACCGGCTCAACAGCCGCCGTCGCTGCAGCAGCAAATATATACTGCACCACATACTTTGCGCTAATGACCTCCGAGCGGACATGCGGCATAACCTCTGCAAGATAAATGTTTAGCTCGGGAATATGTAATGTATGAAGCAGATGACGCTTACCAGCCGAATAAGTATTCAGCCCGTTGAAAGCCCCCAGAAGGCCTACGCCTGCAAAGAAAGCGGCGATAATTGGCACAACCATACCGCCCACTTCTTCCTGTAAGGTCCAACAGTAGATTAAGGTTGCAATTGGGAGGACTCCAAATAGGGTGGCAAGACCACTATTAAGTCGGTCCTGAGGTAGGCGCACCCCGTTTCGTTTCAGGATCCATTTCTTCACAGCGCGGTCAGACAGCCTGCCGCCAACGACGCTACCAATCAGAAAGCCAATTCCAGGGGAGAGGTAGAATAGGCCGCTAACGAGTGGAGTCGTTAAGTTGAAGCGTGGATTGAAAATTGAGCGGGCTGATGTGAGAAGTGCGTATTGGAATGTAGAAAGGAGGCCACATGTGAGGCACTTTTTGTTTGTTAGTCAGTCAGTTAATTTGATGTTGGCAGATAATGCTTACTGCAAGAAAAACGTTGGGATACACAAATTGACGAAAGATGCGCAAGGGATTGAACATGCTTATAACAGTGGAAGCCTTCCAGGGTTTGTTGGAGTCGATGATTCGATTCTTTTCTTGGATACTTGGTACGAAAAGAAGAGATAGGATGAGGCCGAGTAAAGTCATCGCAAATTGCAGCCAGTAGATAATGCGCCATTGAGCAAATGTGACGATGATGCCGCCGATGCAGGGTCCTAATTAGATAGTTAGCCATCTAGATCCAATGACATGCATATCTGGTGTGATAGTTTGGACAGACCAATTGCAGGTCCACTGACAGATCCAACCATGAAGCAGCCAACAGCAGTTCCACGCACAGTCTATCAACTCTTGTCAGTGACCAAAAAACAATCAAAATCAACCCAACATACCGGTTCAAAGATATCTGCAAGAATAGTCTGCCCAGCAACCATGAAGAAGGTGCCTGTAAAGCCTCCCAAAATTCGCATTGCGATAAACATGTGTAAATTGATCGCCGCGGCGGTACCCGCCGAGCATGCACAAAGCACAAGGATAGCTGCATTATAAGCATTGCGACGCCCGAATATACTGGTAATAGGACCCCAAATAAAAGACGAGAAGCCCATTGCAATCAGTACACCGGCATTAGTGACATTGAGAATCTCCGATGTGGTCGAAAACTCGGTAGCGATCTCCGGGATTGCGGGCAATAGTGAAGTACTGGAGAATGTAACAGCCAGGGTCATCCAGCTCACGATAAAGAGGATGAGGCATTTGCGCCATGTTGGAATGTCATAGGCATTTGAGGGCTGAGGTTTTAGGGCCAGGTCGTCTTCTGATTCCGAGTCGTGAGGAGAATCTACCTGCGGGGTTGTTTTCTGGGACTCGAGATCTGGCCTAGATACCATGATTGGGCGTTAGGTGAAATTAGATGGTATATATTCGATGTAAAAAGTTGATCGCTTGTGTTTGCATGTCTAAAGTAGTGAAATGAGGTACACAGAAAATAATCCAACAAGACTTGGTGGACATTTTGTACGAAAGAGCTCTCGGCATGTTGGTGCTGTCGCCGAAGCGTGGTTTTTTCTCGCGTGGAGCTTTTTTTTTTTCTCTGATGTGGATCGGAAAGCACGATCGGCATGTGTGGCCGAGTGCTTCGTTTTGCTTCTGGCGATCTAAAAAATGTCAAAATAGTCAGGGATAATAGGGATATTTACAATCATAGTGACCGTGTGAAGTTGATATCAAAGTGCCATTTGTGGCTTGAGCTACCTCAAACATCAGGCCTCTATTTCCTTACTGTCCACTCAGTCCACTTCAGCACCAATTTGACAACACACAAATTCATAGTTGTCTGTTCAGTGCAATCCCTCTCAGTGTGTTCTAGATGCGGAATATGCTGGGAATTATTCCCGCGCGTTATATGCTTCCTCCCATGCCACACACTAAACACCCGACAACCGACCCAGCGCCAAGCTGACGCTTCCCCACGCAAGCTTTCCTCTGCTCGTACAAAGAGATCGGCAAAATGGCTTGGCGAAGTTGAAGCTTTCAATCTAGCCCGCCAAGAGATTTTGTGTCCCAGGTCTCGGGGAAAAAGGAGATGTCGACGCAAGGGATAACGAAAGAAAAACATCGGTTCTAGGGAGAGGTACTTGATCACTCTACAAGATCCGACGACGCAATATCATTCAGCTATGGACCAAAAAGAGGCACTGAATGTCAAAGCATCCCCTTCGCCTTTACACCCAGTGGAAAAGCACCACACAGCTCACTTTGTCTTAATCCCCCAACCTAGTAACCATCCCCGGGACCCTCTGGTATGGCAGCAGACCTCCAAGCATCATTGTCCCTGAAGACGGACTGATGATACTTCCAGAATTGGGCTCTTACCCGCAAATATGTAATACTGGCCGTGTTATGCCTCGCATCCTTCTCAGGCGCTGCTGCGGCTTTATCGGCACAGCTCAATCTGACTGATCAGGAGAAGTTGTATAACAAGACGAAGCTGGAGGAGTCCTATGCAGTATGTATATGACCTCATATTAACTGAGACTTTAAACATTGTACGGCTATCAAACTTCGTATCATCCTATCTAATACCGCCCAGAATTCAGCCGCCCTAGCTGGCATGGCCGCAGGCCCATTTTTCTTCGCCCCGATATCTCACATGCTCGGTCGCAGCTCCGTGATATTCTGGTGTGTGCTTCTCGCGCTAGTATGTCAGATCTGGGGCGCTGTCATGACTGATCCTGGCGACTATATCGCATACGTGATGTCTCGGCTCTTTGCCGGCTTCTTCGGTGCTGTGCCAACAGTGCTTGGCCCTCGCATTGTGACCGATCTGTTCTTCTTGCATCAGCGAGGCCGCGCTTTTACTGCTCTACATATGGCGTTTTTGTTTGGAACTATTGCCGGTCCGACGTTCTCGGGTTTTGTTTCTGCACATTCGTTCTTTCCTGTTGAATTTTGGTGGACAGTCGGTTTACTAGGATTCACGCTTCTCTGTTGTTTTAGTTTCCTTGAGGAAACTGGTTTTGACCGGGAATGCTTTGAAAGGAATCCCGATATACCAAGTGGAATTTTCGCTAATAGATTTGCTACTTTCTTCTTCGGGCAGAAAATTGTCTTGCCGACTACCTGGAAAGAGACGGTGAGTATAGAGAAACCCCGGAGCTTGATGCCGTACTATGAGAATCAAGTTCGACCTAATATTAATCGGACAGGCCAAAGTCGGAATCACTCCCTTTCTAATCGGAATGTGTCCTATGGCCATGATTATGGGGGTCTTCACGCTAATATCCTTTGGGTTCTACGTGGGTGTCAATGCACTCACACCGGTATGGCTCCAGAAACCCGTTTCGGAAGGTGGCTACGGGTTCTCACTGGAACAAAATGCGGCATTCACATTCTGCCATTGGATTGGCATCATTGTCGTCCAATTCCATGGCCATTATCTGAACGATTGGTTACCGCTCGCACTGGCACGGCGATACAACGGCGGTGTTTGGAGACCCGAGTATCGACTGCATGTCCTGTGGCTTCCTAGTCTTGTGATCAACCCAATTGGCCTGGGTATCTTTGGTGCCGCGCTGCAGTATCATCTACACTATATGGTACTTGCACTGGCGGTTTTTATTGTGACCGTTGGGTCACTGGCTAGTGTTCCTGTCACTGTGAATTATGTTGTGGAGTGCTTTACGCAATATCCGGCTGAGGCTGGTATTGTTATTGGTGCGTATCGCATTGTGTATGGATTGACAATTAGCTTCTATATCAATCCTTGGGTTGAGGCTGTGGGTGTTGGCTGGGTTTATGGTATGATGGCATTCTTTGCGGTGTGCTCCTTTATGTTTGTTGTGCTGCTCATGTGGAAGGGACATGCTATTCGCAAGGTTCAATTTTCGAGCCTTGGATCTAGCGAGGAGGGCGAACAGTTGCTAGATTGATGATACCATATGATTGGTGGAGTGGTTATGGATCGTAATAGAAGGGTAAGAAAAAGAAAGTTGGTGTTGTGTACTGCGCGCATATTGTGAATATATGGGACCCTCACAAGGTCCGTGTTTTTGAAAGGAGATTACAAGGGTTACACGCAAGTTGGATTAATATTACTTGTATTTATTGTAACCCGCGTATAGTTAACTTTAGCGGAGATCGAAGACCCACGGCAACTATATACGGGGCCAGCTCAACCCTTAAAGGTCACTCCAGCCGACTCCCGGGAAGATAAGCCTAACGCAAGCTATTTAAGAGGAAAAAGAAATTTTCATAGCTCTTTGCTTTTACATTTGCTTCAAATCTCATCGCATTTTTCAATCCAAATATTTCTAACTTACGGAGACTTCTAGGTTTCCACTTGGAGGTTCAGGAAAGGATCTAGAACTTACCCATCACCATGAGATTCCTCGTGGATCGGTCAAAACTGACTGTTGTAGTAGCAAAATTCTCTTGTGGAGCGGTATGGCCCTGTGCCCTTTGATTATCATTGGAGATTTCGCTAACAAAACGTATAGCCCCGAGCGGGCGCAGAGAAGGGCCCGCAAGCCATCATCGACACCGGGGTTTTTTCTGATATACGGACAAGGACCAATATTGCTCTTGATTTCGTTGAGTTGTCTCAAGATGACCAAGGGTCTCAGATTCCATCAGATACGGACGTGATGGGAATGAAGAAACCACGGGAAGTGAGTGCGGCTTCTGCGCATATCAGTAGCTCTGTCTACCAACAAGCACGGCTAGGACGATTTGTGGTTACTTTGGGAGGTGATCACTCCATTGGCGTTGGCACGGTGTCCGGAACGGCCAAGGCTGTCCGTGAAAGATCATCAGGCCAGGAATTGGGTGTTTTCTAGATTGACGCGCATGCTGACATCAACAGACCGGAGACCAGCTTGAGCGGAAGAATTCACGGTATGCCAGTGGCATTCGTATCTGGCATGGCAAAATCTCCGAAAAAAGGCATCTTTGATTGGTTGGAGCAAAACCATTTGATCAACCTTCGGAAATTTGTTTACATCGGTCTCCGTGATGTAGATGAGGCTGAGCAGGAGACGATAGCTAAAACCGGCATTAAGGCCTTCACTATGAAAGATGTCCAACGGTAATCCCTGGTGCCTTGGTAATATGAGATTCTGGCTTCAAGCTCACACGCTTCCAGGTATGGTGTTGAGAAGGTCATGGACCTAGCCCTCAGTCATATTGGAAGTCAAACTCCGATCCATGCATCTTACGATATCGACTCCCTGGACCCGAAGTGGGCTCCATCCACTGGGTTTCCAGTAGCATCGGGGCTTTCACTGGATGAAGGCGTGGTTATTGCGAAGCGTCTTCATGAAAGTGGAAATCTGATTGCCTTGGACCTGGTTGAAATCAATCCCGACATTGCTACTTCTCACCTGAATGTGACACTCAATGCGGGCTGTAAATTGATCAAAAATGCGCTAGGAGTGGTAGATTGTCCGTGAATGCTAACTACCAATACGAACCATGCGATCCTCTCTGAATCACACTAGAAAGCAAGTAAATAGCCTATAGTCACTACTTCTACCACCGCAGCTAAATTACTCGGCCTTTTTAATACAGCAAAGTAGCTCCAATTGTGGGGTAGATTACTTAATACCCTTAGTTTATCCTATCCTATAAAATCATTATCTAGTATCAATTGTGGTGATAAGAGGACGATTAGCCTATTAAAAAGCGAGGATACGGCTTTGGAAACGAACCTTGCTTCGGCACGTCGATATTTAAGACAGGAGGTCAGAGAAGGGAGGATATAGGTCAAAAGGTGCCCATAGTAAGTAGTATAGCAGTCGATAGCCTCACGGAATTGCTCCCTCGGCAGAAGTATAAAGCTTTAATAGGCTGCTAAGGATAACGGATATAGACTATCTGATAGCGTAAGAGAGAGAGAGAGATCAATATGCCGATATATATAGAGTATCTAGCAATCCTATACCAGTTTCGCTAAGCGAGTGTTTCAGAGCATGAAGACTGGGATACCGGGGGATTTATTAATCTAGCATGTTTAGTAATATAGAATTGGTAATCTGCGGCCCATACTCCGTATAGATTGCTAGGAAAGCGGATACTGCAATGGAGAGATTTGAACACCATTGATTGGACCCCTCCATTTCACGATATCAAAGGACCTCGGGAAACTTATTGCCCCGCTCGTCACTGGCCCATTTATACCTTGAAGTCCCCCTATCTTGGAGTCAAAGGAGAATTGATTATCAAAGAAGAATATCCCCCTTCTAATTCAAGTACTAGGACTATCTTGTTCGATTCATCATGGCCTCGGTATCTTGGCAGAGCATTGTCGCAGAAAAGAAAGCCAGCATTGAGAATTCAATTCCAAATGATTGGAAGATCAAAAATGCTCCCTCGGAGGACAACTTGATGGATTTCCCCGAGCGATGTGGCATTCTCTCACCTTTTGATTTGGAGGTCACAAGTCTATCGGCGACAGAACTTGTTGGCAGATTAGCTACCGGCAATCTCAAAGCAGTGGATTTGACCCTTTCGTTTTGCAAAAGAGCTGCCGTTGCACAGCAGCTGGTGAGTCTAGCTGGAAAAGATTTCATTTGCAATTAAACTGATTGTGATCAGCTCAATTGTGTGCATCTCTTTTTCCCAGAGGCAGCACTTGTACAGGCCAGGCAACTGGATGAATATTATGCACGCCACAACAAAACCGTCGGGCCATTGCATGGTTTGCCGATTTCACTAAAGGATCAATTGCGGGTCAAGGTAACGTAAAAATATCTATAAGTAGAGCTTCACCTGACTGGTCTGCAGGGTACTGAAACCTCAATGGGCTATGTTGCCTGGGTTGGAAAGCGCGACGAGACTGACTCGGTTCTCGTTAAACTTTTGCGGCAAGCTGGAGCAATCTTCTATGTGAAAACCAGCGTACCTCAGACATTGATGGTTTGCGAAACTGTCAATAACATTATCGGGCGAACTGTGAATCCGCGGAACAAGAATTGGTCTTGTGGCGGTAGTTCTGGGGGTGAGGGCGCCATGGTTGGAATTCGTGGATCTGTGATGGGCGTTGGAACCGACATTGGTAGGTTTCTTTTGCTCCGCTGTGAGAAAGGCCTAAGAATCCTCACCGCTGATGCATTGTGATTTTGATTATAGGTGGCTCTATCAGGATTCCTGCAGCTTTTAATTCCCTTTTTGGAATTCGTCCGAGCCACGGTCGTCTACCGTATGCTGGTATGGCGAATAGCATGGAAGGTCAGGAAACAGTGCATAGTGTTGTCGGACCAATAGCACATTCCATTCCTGGTATGTACTTTTGGTGATACCCACACAGTTCGATCATTAAACCATCACATTTAGATCTCAAACTCTTCATAAAGTCGGTGCTCGAAGAAGAACCGTGGAAGTTTGACTCCAAGGTCATTCCATTGCCTTGGCGACAGAATGAAGAAGAAGTGATCAAATCTAAGATCACCCACGGAGGTTTGAACATAGCTACCTACCATCACGATAGCGTTGTACGTTTTCCGCCCTCTATAGCGTCACTACTCTACGTGAAAACTAATGCTTCATAGGTACTTCCTCATCCTCCAATTCTGCGAGGAATCGATATTGTTCGTTCGACACTTGAGAAAAACGGTCATAATGTGTTCTCCTGGGCTCCTCATGAACACGAGCTTGGCGTCAAGCTAATTAATAAAATCTACGCTGCAGATGGTTGCACAGTAAGCTACCCTAAATCATCATCCCTCCTAGTTCAATTTGAGAGAAGGGCCAAATTCTGATGCAAACAGGATGTATACAAAAACATCAATGCTTCTGGTGAGCCTGCAATCCCCAACATCAAAGATCTGTTGAATCCCGACCTTCCCAAGGCGGATGTGAACGAAATTTGGGATGTACAATTACAAAAATGGCATTACCAATGTGCCTATCTTGATAAATGGCGTGAATTGGAAGAGAAGATGGGACGGGAAATCGACGCGATCATTGGGCCAATTTCTCCAACGGCAGCTATACGTCATGACCAGTTTCGATATTATGGATATGCATCCATTTTCAATTTGCTTGACTTTTCCAGCGTTGTCATCCCTGTCACGTTCGCTGACAAAGAGAAAGACCTCAAAAACTCGAATTTCCAGCCTATGGGAAAGATTGATGCTGAGGTTCAAGCTGAGTATGACCCGGAAGCTTACCACGGTGCTCCCGTAGCGGTGCAAGTCGTTGGACGACGCTTGAGCGAGGAACGCGTTCTGGCTATTGCGGAGGAGATAAGTCGGCTTCTGTGAAGGTGAATGTATTCTCTCTTTTAGTCGTTCGGTCCAAGCCTTTTCAGATTCATTTGAGCTAGTCATAAAGCTCCCGGCGTCTTGAAGGCAATCCAGAGTGTATTTATGCATGCTTGCCTTGCTTCCGTGTTTCATCCCATAAAAGAATAGATTAGTCTATTATTAAGGTAGGATAGGCCTCTTACATTTGCAGAATTAATGTTCCGTACCTAAATTGCCGATTAATCCCAGTATGGCTCTGGCTGATACTCAGGCACCGAGTATGCCCACTAATTCAATGCGATATAAATGCCTGTTCTAGTTTTCTTAGACACAGCGATCCATTTTGATCCATTAAATGCAACTTTCACTTAGACCAACCCTAATTTGGTACGATGTCAGCGAACTACTGCCCTGCTTCAATATGGTAATAACTCGGTTAGATGCGCACCGAGAGGATTTTTCATCCTATCAGTTCTTCTGTCCTGTTTATTGTTAGCCAAACCTGCGGCTGAAGTTGGCTCGCAATGTCATGACTGACGTGTGTTGTCCGTATCCTCTTTTCCAAATTGTTTGAATTAAACACAAGACCCTCTACTCGCGATTGTCGTGATTCTGTAGAAGAGCCAGGGCTAGAAAGCACCTCATGTATATTGCCTTGGCATCGCGCAAGTTCTACCCATAGGGCAAAATATGACATGAGTTTTTTGTGTAAGCCCTTTTCAATATTTTGAAACATGTATCTGACTTCAAAGTGTCATCACGTCTGTTCTAGTTGCTGGGATGAACTTGACGATGCTCACATCGTTCGTGATTGACCTCACGAGAGCCGCTACGGCAGCAGACAAACTATTCAAGTTAATAGATAGACTCTCTCGAATCGACCCTTCTGGGGATACTGGAGAACTACCATCTGATACTCTGGGATAAATGAATCCTTGTTTTTGCTTATCCAACAAGGCCTAGCGCTACCGTTCTGGACAATTCGTCCCTCCAAGTACCTACCAGCAAAAGGATTGCTCTCGTTGTAAGCTTGAAGATGTCTTGATAAATGTATATTTTTCACTGACTGTTATCTTGGGCCAATCTGGATGTGGGAAAAAGTACCATAGTGAGCCTTCTTGAACGATGGTACAGTCCTGACCCAGGTCAGATGAAGCTGGATGGTCGACCCAATGATCAGTTGAACTTGAACTAACTCCAAAGAAACATTCAAGATGGTCTCGTTAGTACTGAATGGGAAGATGCATCAAAAGCTTCGCAAAAAAGCTTCGCAAATGAAATATGTCCAGGGAGCTGCGGTTACGGCTTTTGCACACGACTTTATTTCTAAGCTTCCGGACGGTTACAACACCCAGATTGGCCAAAGAGGATGTCTTCTTTTCGAGGGTCAGAAGCGAAGAGTAGCCATTGCCCGGAATCTTAAGATCTGAACAACATCGTGTTTGCCTGCCCTCTTCGTCCCAATTTTCCCGTTCTCAGGGGCGTTGATCTCTATATAAGCCTTTGCGAACTTTTTTTTTTGTTCTTTGCGTCAAATTAAAGGGTGAATCAAAGCTTATCTAAATCGCATATCACAAAAGGACAGTTCATAGCTTTCTTCGGTGCATCTGGATGTGGTAAATCCACCATGATCTCTATGCTCGAGCGCTTTTACGACCCTTCGACTGGCTCAATCAAGATCGGACCCACCGCACTCCCAACGCCCAACTAAGATCTTTCACGACAAGTTGTGGCCCTAGTCTAACAAGAGCCAAATCTTTTCCAAGTGTCCATCAAAGAAAGTTTTGCCCTTGGAGTAGACGCCTTGTTAAAGAACACAATATCCGATTCGGCAGCAGGTACATCCAATGGCGTTTCCGATGAAAGGCCCGAGGTAGCGCTCCGCGCCGCCAATGCCTGAGACCTCTTATTTTCCCTGCCAGATGGACTCTCTACACCTATGGAATCAGGGAGCACCTAGTTGACTAGCGGACAGCGGCAAGGCATCGCTATCGCACGAGTACTCGTCCGTAACCCAAAGGTGCTACTTCTTAATCAAGCTACAAGGGCTCTTGATACGAATAGTGAGAAGATCGTTCAAAATTCCCCTGCTGAGGCTGCAAAAGAACGCGACAAGATCACTATTGCTGTTGCTCATCGATCAAACACTATCAAGGATGCAGACTTGATTTGCGTGTTCTTGAAAGGGAAAATCAAGGAGCCAGTAACGCACCAAGAGTCAATTCTCCAGGGGGGCATGTATCGGAAGATGTGTGAGGCGCAGTCATTGGAGTAGAAGCCTAGAGATTTTTCATTCTCTCATTTATGTGCAGCTTTCACCTGTTGTAATTTCATAAAAATGGTAAATGACAAGCTATTAGGTGCTTGAGTCTAACGAGGGCCTTTTACAGCAGTGCAGACGCCTTGAAAACAATTCAAAAAAGTGCATCAACACCATTGATATTGATTGCATGACTGCTCAATTATACGTGTCTGTCTCCATTCTCTGATTATCGCGCAATTATAAACTCAGACAAAACTATTGTTATCTATTGGGCCTTCGCTGTGTAGTCGGGGGAAAGGAACCTAGAGGAAACTATCCGTATAACATCGTAGTCGGAGAATTGCGGTACTCGGTTGAACTCGAGCCTGCTCGGCAGGGATTTCACGATACTTGGAATGATTTCGACACCATGATTGAGTCTTCAAGATAGTCAATTCATGTAGTAATACACCGCTATCTTTCTTCATATACTCGGTCAGGACAAGGATCTCCGTCTTTAGCCCTCCCACGATATATTAGGCCTGACTGATCTAGGATAACGCGAGTACAAGTCTTCTTGAATGTCCGAGAATTGCCGGCTGTTTACTTGCGTCGCCTCTGTTCCGAGCAGTGACGTCATTTAACATTAATGTCAAGTGTCTGAATATCAGTAGATGCACAATTTCGAACACCTTCCTAGGCTATACTGAGAGGTTGGGGAATATATCACATGAAATCAAACTAAGGTGGCGGAATTATAGTCCGTAGGTAGACGGGGGCAAATCCCTCGGGCCAAACGAAGTGGATTGCCTCGGGTCGTAAGAACGATTCCGGTGCCTTTCTTTCTTCCCTGGTGCTCTATATCTGTTTATCGTACTATGTTTAAGGCTTTCAAAGAAATATTCAACCTCGGAAGATGTCGCCGAAAGACCCCACCCGTAAATGGCAAGGTTATCTAAGAGATGATTGTCCGGGAACTATATCAGAGACGTTGTGTAGGATATGTTACAACCCCATCTGTCTAATATCGTTTCCCAATTCTTGCCGGGCCGAATTAAGAAACGTTAAGTCGTACACCGAGGAACGGCAAAAGTGTATATAAAACATAACCCGGGACTAAGCCGTCGGTGTCTGCTATGTGAGTCCCACGGCAACAAGTGGGTTTGCTTGGCCCTATGTCGAAAAGAAACCGGAAGAGTTGGGAAAAAACAGCCATAGTGGCAGATAAATTGGGCCAAGAGAATTGCAGTTTGCAAGACACAAGTGCAAAACCTAGGCTATCATGAACGTATTCCCAAAAAAATACCCAACCCTTTTTAGAGATCGGAACGATACACGAAAACATAAAAACTGACACAGGGAGAGATAATTCAATCGAAGAGCCCGGCCACGCTACCAGGCTTCCGTGCCATCCCAAAGTTCGCTCAAAAAAAGACTGATGGGGAAAAAAACACTCGATGGTAAATGAATAATCAGCTCGGGTTTCGGCTGAAAACCTCGAGGAACGCCTTTTGCGCATGTTGAACAACATAACCGGAACAATAAAGGAATCGCATGTAGCAAATAAACAATAGCAAGAGCAAACCAAAACAAAGACGAGGGCGCGCGCAATGGGTATAGGTGAAAATCAATCTTCGTGATCCCGTTTTCAATTCCCGATCTGGGCTGATCCATGTAGTGGCCAAACCAGGAGAAGAAATTATTGGATTTGGAGTTCAATTCGCCTGCCTTCGGCGCTCGGGGAATTTCCCGCAGGTTCGAATGTCCCATTTTTTGAGTCGCCGGCGATTATAGATAGAAAAGAGGGAGAAAGAGATGGTCGTACAGTAACGTAAGACGTAGCGGACGAGGGAAGTCGTAAAAAATAATAATACAATGAAGCAAGGCCATTGGTATTGGTGCCACTGCTTCAATGGGCGCCGGCTGAAGAGCTGGGACAGAGAACCATGATTTCTGTTTAGAGCTCTAGCGGCCGAATTGGGACCAGACCGTGCTCAGCCAGCCGGCTGGAATACCGATCTCAGAAGGCGCGAGCATGGATAGCTGGCCCCATTCGGACCCATCCAGGAAGGCGAGGACATCATCTCCGCCAAGACTTGTTGATAGTAGGGTAGAGTCTGGGCATTCGGTTGAGGTCAGGGGCGGGGAGGGAGCCAATTGAGTGACAGAACCCGGTGGAGGGAGGACGGGGATGGTGTGTGAGGTGGCTGCGTTGATGGGAGGGAGGGATTGGGAATATGGCGGAGGCGGAGCCTGCGGGCGGGCCGGGAGCCAGGAGTTGATAGGATTCAGGCGGTTGCTTGTTGCCGTTAAGTACTGGGACGGGGACTGCGTAGTTGCGGATAGAGAGGGGAAGTTGGGAGATGAGGTGGTGTAGACGGGACCGTCTGGGTGGTGTTGTTGAAGAGATGGGAGGGAGTAGGGGGATCCAGATGGCATTTGACGGCTGTTGGGAAGTGGCAGGCTGGGACGGCGATCGCCGTCGTGTCCAGGCAGCGACAGACCCGGGCTGTTGACTGGAACCCACGACTCGCGACGACCACCGGCACCTTCGAGCATCTGGTCACCAGGTTCGCCAGTCTCACTCCGGACAGCATTGCTTCCAGCATCACTCAGATTCCGCTCGTAGATGGACTCATTTGCTGCGGGTACTGCAATACCGTCTTCGTCCGTCCCAGGCTCTACCAACTGGTCCTCGATGCTTCCAAAGTCGAGGAAAAGCTTTTCGAGCATCTTGAATTCCTCAAGGCCACCACCAGCACCGCCTTCACGAAGGAGACGACTCCCGTTGAGGGCGTGGTCAGAGGCATCCGACATGCTATCCAGGCGATTCCGTGACAACCGGCGGAAATCACGCTTGACTTTAGAGAAGTAGCTGTGAAGGCGATTCAGGGTGCGGAACCAGCCCATCGCCATCCTCAAGCGAGGACGCATCTCTCGTATTATATCCAAGGCCTTGCGTGCTTGTGCGACACCAAGCTGATGGCTATCATGGTTTGCGGGGGGTGGCTTGGTTCCCATTAATCCATCCGGATCCATGTGTGGGAAATGTGTCCCATAAACTCCCACAAAAGCAGCATTGTAGATAGCGAATCCGACTAAAGGGTTCTCAGCAAGAGCACCGCGGGCTTGGCATGTGGCTACAAGGTCAATCATCTGCCGTGCTGCCTTGAAGAGCTCACGTGCACTATCCCGCCAGAAACCGTCAGGTGGTCCATTGACCTTGTCGACGGCGAACAACGGCTCATCCAAGGGGCCAGAAGGCTCATTGCAACGAAGAGGCAGGAATGGAATATAAGCACGGTGAAGGACAATCACAGATAAGAAGTAGACAACATGCATCACAGTGTATGAAGCCAGAGTGGTCTTGTACATGATGTGTGTGTCGGTATTGCGAAGGGAATATTGCAGGTTACGAGAAAGGCTATCCTGAAACTCGTTCAGCTGCTGGCGGAGCGAGGCGAAGCGAGATTCGGGATGCCAGGGAGGATATTGCTCCGTGCGTCGACCGCCGGCGCAGGACCATTTGGCAATACTTCCCCACACCCGGATGATTCGAATAACCCGGCTGAGAACCGACTCCTCTGCACCAACCTCCCATCGATCAATCTCCTCCTCGCTCGAGTCCTTACGGCGAGAGATAGGTGACCAGGACTTACCATCTGGGGTCCCATTGGGCCCTGGCAGCTTTTCATCGCCAAAGCCTCCTATACTTTGACGGATGCTGGGGATTTGCATGCTTTGGGAACCGAAGCTCTGTGGGCGCCGAACGGTCGGTTCATTGAGTCGAGCCGTTCGAACCCGCTCGCCGAAAGCAAAAGCATTGTCGCTGGGAAGCTGAATTCCGAGTTCCTTGACTCGAACCATCCGAGGACGGTATTTCCCACTGCTGAGGCATCGATCGAGGATAAAGCAGGCCCAAAATGTCCGGCGCTTGGTCTCTTGGGCAATGATATCATCGGATGTCGGCTCCCTGGGTTCTATACGCCGTGGCAACCCAAAATGATCTGCCTCTGTTTTCAGGCCGGGGGACGAGTGTAGAGGATCTCGTGTTGGGAATTCATTTTCGAGTTCAAAGGGCAGACCCATAGCTTGTGCAAGCCGGATGGCCATACCCACGTAAACCCAAGCACTCTTGCCTCGGCACATTCCCCATTCGTGTAAGGCTAGCATTAATAGTGCCTGTACGCGCGCAAGATCAGGCTGGGCGAGACAAGCACCATCCAAGCCGGCCAGCCGGCTGCGGAGGGCTGCCGCATAGTATTCCGATGCGGCGAGCGGATTCGAAGAATGACTAGGTGATGCTGGTGAGTGAGCTGCCGCCAACGGAGGGTGGAAGCGAGCAGTCAAGGCCAGTACACCCAGCGGAATCAGTGACGAGGACGGGTCCACCTTAAACACGGGGTTCCGGGGATCTTGTCCATCGAGGGTCGCGGGAGGAGGAGACGAAAGCTGTCGGATTTGGCCGAGAAAGGTCGCGGGATGTAGGAAGGGTAGGAGGGTGGCAAAATGCGATTGGAAGAGATCGAAGACTGTCTCCCAAACTTTTGTTGTAAGTATCGAGGAATCAAGCGCATCCACACCGAGCTTGGAACCAGCCGATGAGCCGGTGACGCCTACCACCTTGCGCGAGCGATGTCGTTTCGGACCATCCCAGTCACCATTTCGATCCTCGCCCTCTGCTAGGGTGGCCAAATCTCGTTTGGCGCCGCTCACTCCGATTGCTGGGGTTGGATAGACACATTCGCGCCCGGACGACTCGCACGCGCGACAGGTGGTATCGATGCCGGCATTGACGCATTTGATTTTACTGCGCCGGCATCGAGCGCAAGCGATGCTAGACCGCATTGTGTACTGGATAGACCCGAGATCTATGGAGAGGTGACGACTCGGTTTGTATCAATCGCAATTCTCCCATTTACTGTGTCAGGTTTGTTTTTTTGAGGAAAGATGAATCTCGGGGTCAAGGTTCGGCTTCTGAAGAGTTAGCATTGCATATGCCGGGGGACAAGCAATACTTACTCAGATATGCGCAAAGGAGAGAAAGGAAAGGGCTAAGGAAGAACGGAATTGGCGGAGTGTGGGGGAAACTCAAAGAGAGTCGGGGCACCGGACCGGGAGAAACACAAAGTCGGGAGGGAACGGGGAAATGCCCAGGACCGGGGGGGGACCAGAAATTCGAAAAATAAAAAGAGAGAAAAAAAAATCCAAAAAGCCGAGAAAAAATCAAGAGCCGCTGAAATTGCGGAGGGCCCAAAAGTATGCAAGGACGCGCTTTTTCCTGGAGGTGGAGCATCCCCAGTTTCCGGGTTGCTTACGTAGTTCCTATTACTATCACACTTTATACACATTGTATAGTACGGCCATGTCGTATATTCAAGTACGGAGTACTCCGTACATGTACATAGTATATAATTTATAAAAAGTAATTTCATAAAATTCAAAAACTACCTATGTTAGTCCCTTGATACTATGTACCTTCTCGGCACGGAACCCTGTCTGACCTAAAGAGGGAATATCCCCAACTTTTATGTGATCTCATGATCGTCATCTCGCATCTCTACCCGACTCGGGCTCAGCTTACGGTCCGAAAATCAGAAGGAAAAAATGTACACATATACAATTTGGCCTGTCAAGTAGGACATTGTCTATTCTACCGGACCAAATTGAGATCTAAATCATCCGGACTGGCTGGAATAACAATACCCGTCCACTCGCCGGCCGATTGTCCTCCGGTCATTCTCCGGCATTTTTTTTTCATATGGGGCCCGTGAGGATAAATTATGCCAGCCCCCAAAATCTGGGGGATCGGTAGATTGGGGGAACATCAGGCATGCAATGTTGTACATTCTGGTTTCATGGCCTAGACCTCTCTGTGTCTAGGGTATTCCGTACGGAGTGCTCCGTACAAAGGTACCCTTTAACTCTACCTAGGCAATTGACTAGGTCTACCCCGTGGCAGCTGATGTCCGATCGGCATTTGTCTGGGCGGGAATTCATACACCGTCTCTTCCCGCGTCGGGAACACCAGAATAGGAAAGCGGGAAGTAAACAGTTGTACCCTGATGGGGGTATTCTCGGAGAGTACAGCGAGAATTCAGAGTCAGTAGAAAAAGAACCGAGAACCGAAGGGTGACTCCACAAGATACCAAAGAAACACCAGTGGACCGGATCATAAGGCTTCTCTTTTTTTCCCACATGGTTTTCTTTTCTTTTTCTTTTTTTTTTTTTACTCAAGAGGGGTATCTCGGGCCATTTGGAACCCTCGGGTATAGCCTTGTCCCCAAAGCATGGGTTAACCTGCCATCGACCATCGACGTAGCCTATGAGAGGATCAATCTGGGGGAGAAGGGGATATAGCATCCAATCAACGGATTCCAAGACCCTGGTCGGGGCTCCCCGCAAAGAAGCGAGATCCTAGATCCTCACGGAAGTTACATTGAGAGTTACCCTTGGAGTGATTGGCTTTGACTGTGACCTTTCGCCTCTCCATTAGTTGGCTTACCCCCGTGTGACGTTCCTACTCCCTACTCCGTACAGTGTGGCCTGTTGTATCCGTTTTTACCCCCTTGCCACCCAAGAATTGAGGAAAGGGATCAGGTCGGCAGATCCAAGTTACCATCTCGGAATGATATCACGGGATAATCAATTGGACTGACCTGCCCTTACCCATCAGTACAAACAGACCAAGACCTACATATGTTTCACCCCTTACGGAGTTCGACAGTGTTCCGAGGTTATACACATGTCGAAGAATGTCACACATCGGAAAGGTTATACACCGAGTTTTTGCCCCCCCCGGTCACATCTCGGCCCCGTCCGATTCAGCGATTGGACCACAACCTCCGAGGCGCCAGCGATTGGACCCCGGACCCCGCATTTACTTTATATTAGGTAAGACTCCCCATTTCCTTTTTCCCAAGGGTGATGTAGTATATCACATAGAGTACTACCTAGATACATGTATAGAGTATACAAATAGAGTAGGATTTGGATCACTCTTGAATGTAAATTTTTTGTTAAAAAAAAGAAATAGTCATGTGCTCATCAAATCGACCCTCTTTTTTTTTTATAGTGGAGAAGCTTAAAAGGAAAATTCCAACCTTGGACTTGGAACTTTCATGACATAAGGGAACATTGCACATTACATTTCTTGGCATAGCTCAGGTGACAGGATTAATAAAGAAAACTCTCTGGTCTGTTTCCCATCCCGCTTTCACCCTGCTATTATCCGCGGCATCCCCGTCTACGGAGTACCCAATTCGACTTGGACTTCCAATCCAAAAGCTTATGGCTTGAAATTCCAGTCGGCATCCAATTACTTTCCTTCCGCTTCCTGACCCTTCTCGGCACGGAGCAGTTGCCGACCTAGAACTTGTCGGCACGTGGTTCCTACATTAGTAATTTCATGATCTCTAGGTATCATGATCTCTATTTCTACTCTAGCAAATTTCTTGAAAATCTGAAAGCCTAAATGAGAAGAAGTAAAGACCTGGGAAGGTGTATCCCGAATGCCACCACTCCGTACCCCATAGAAAATGTGAAATTCGAAAGAACAGGCCAAGAACAACCCTCCCCACATCGGCTCGGTTAGAAAATCGGCAGGATACCGAGTCTCCCGAGTCCGGATTGGGACATTGAGCCTACCGTGCATGATTGCTTTAGTCCGGTAATTCTCCGATGGCTAAAGTGTACCTCCAATCCTTAATACATAATACTTTGTGTCATTCTTATACTTGCTCTCTGCTTATTTGTGCCCATCTGCTGACTTCAATTCGGGGGCTCAATCCCGAGCCCTATCCCCACTCCCCGGGGGTACCGGGTTAACTCTACTTTTTAGCCTAATCTCCCCGGCCGGTTAATTGAAGAGCCATTGTCTCGGTTCGATTGTTCTTGGTATGAATTATTATCAACGGTCTTTTTTGCTATATAGAAAAGAAAAATAATTCAAAATGCGTCGGACATGAAAAGGAAAGCACCGCCAGAGTGGGGTATATTATGAGCGATCATAATAAGATCCAAAATCAAAGCAAATAAACATGATACAGAGAAGGGAAGTAATAACCAAAAAAAGAGTACCCAGGATTGGAACAAGTGAATTAGAATATCGATATTGTATCGTAAACGAGGACCCAGCCCGATGACTATGATGAGTGTGAGGGGTTTAAACGAAGAACCTAAAGATACAAATCAGTAATGGGCTCTGGTCAACCATATATAAGAACTAACCAAGCCGCAAGAGCGATAATGAGATACATCATCATCAACAAGACACCCTCGAGCCAGTGAGACTTGCCATCACCAATGAGGTAGTTGACCTAAAAGAGACAGTCAGTACAATGGATATCACTTCTTCGCCATGAACCGATTCCACTTACTAATAGAACAGACACGAACAGCACAATGACCTGGAATCCATCGAAGTTGAGAGTCTGTCGCAGTTAGTTCCGGCTCCCAATTTGAACACACGTTCTGCGTAGGGCTCATGCATACCATCTCCTCAACGCCAATGATCCACCCAAGAACCACAATTAGCGGCAGCACAAGCAGTGCAATCTGCATGCTGGATCCGACTGCAACACCAATGGCAAGATCCATCTTATCCTTGCATGCGACTGTCACCGCCGTAGCGTGTTCAGCCGCATTACCAACGATAGGCAGAAGTATCAACCCGACGAACGTCTCGCCAATGTTATCGGTAGCCGTTAAAGCGTCGATGGAGTCAACCTGCATAGATCAATGAGCTAACCACAATCACAAAAGAGAGAAAGAAAAAAAAAGGAGAAAGGGGCATTTGCATACCATGAACTCAGCACACACAGCAACAAACGCTGTCGAGATGATCAGCGTGAGGATGGCAGTCACAACAGATAGCTGCGGCTCCTCAGGTTCATCATCGTTATCCTCCATTTGCATGTGGTCCGCGTTCTGTCCGACCAACGGGACGGCAGTCATTTTGCCAATTTGGGCAATGCCGCGGCTGGCGTCACCTTCACCGACCTTTACGTGTCGCCGTTCGACCTTCTCGCTGGGTCGGTTGTACATATCGGCGTGCGACTTCAGCTGGAAGAAGAGGTAGCAGCCGTACACGATCAGAAGGAGTACACTAGTGCCTGTGGTGTAGTGTCAGTAAGAAGATAGGTACGATAGACCAGCCAGGCTGAAAAGCACCAGCAATTAACATACCTCGGGATAGAGCGGCGGTCCCATCTATTTTTTCACCTATAATCAAAGATTCTTATTAGCCTCCGTTTTGACTTGGTCCTTGAATGTGGTCATAACTGACGATTAGACCACTTATGATAGGCAGTGGGAATAATCAAACTGCCGACAGCTAATGCAAGCATACTCGCGGCTGTCTGGGCAACCGTGACGTTGAAGTTCTGCTCTACGCGAGGAATGCCACCAAGGAAAAAGGACATGCCCATCACCAGGAGCAGGTTTGACAAAATGCTTCCGATGAGCGAAGTCTGCACGATGAGGGTTTTGCGTTGGATGAGTGCAATAATTGCGACAATCAGCTCGACAGCGTTGCTACATAGGTTAGAATGGCATTGTAGAAGGAGACAACGGGGAGTATAAAGCATACCCAAATGACGCATTTAGTAGACCACCGATTGTTTCACTCGTGCTAGAAGAAATGTAAGCATAGTTAAAATAGACCCAAAAATGTTGAAGCATACCGAAGGGCAATCTCTTCAGTTGCGAAACTGAGCATGGCAGCAAGGGGACTAGTAGAGGTCTGTTAGCCATAAGATCCTCGAAAGAAACCAACGGTATGAATAGCTCACATGATGGCAATGAAATTAACCACAAAGACCGCAATCGGGTTGGCCCCAACGGCATAAAGCGCGACTGTGCACAGATATACAGTTAGCACATACACTTCTATAAATCAACAGATAGTAGGAACAGCATGACATACTTCCAACTGGCGCAGCAACTAGAAGAACATTGATCCACGAGTTCAAGAGAGTAGACCTTATTTGCGAAGCAAAAGTGAACTTCTGATGTGGCTTCTTATCCTCCAACTCATCACCATCATGGCGATGCCTAAACTTACCCAAGATCCCACCCTTCCGCTGACGCGTTTGCGTTGATCCGATAGTCTCGGTATCAATCCCGCGCACAGACGAAACGTTGATCGGATCCTGGCTAGCCATGGACGGTTCAGGCGGAGACTTGTGTGTTTCATGGTCGCTACCAGCGAACTCTGCTGGAAACGTGTTTGAGTACTCCGGGGCGCTAATGCCGGCATTCATTTCCTCCCGGCGATGCTGGTCTGCTGGGAGGTCACCCATGCTCCGGCAATGGGTTAGCCCACTCTCGAGCTGCATAGAGTTCGATCGGTTGTGTGCTTTTGGGCCGAACATTTGGTACGGGTTCCAGGAACGCTCTCCGCTGTTGTGCCGTGCTAGTCGGTTGGCTGCGCTGCGAGTTGAATCTAATTGTCTTCTTAGAATGGCTGGCCAGTCAAGAAACCCATATGTAGATATTGGACTTACACATGATGGTGGACTGTCGCGAGCCTTTGTAGAGAAATGGATGCGTAAGTATAGCTTTGCAAGATGTGTTTTTTAAGGGTAAAAGGACAAAGCAGCAGCCGTTTTGAGTAAAGAGGGCAGCAGTGAAGTTCATCAATTAGGGCCAATGGATAGACGCCACAGCGTGGCTTGGGCCTGCGATACCTGGGACGGATGCCTATGAGAAGGGCTAAGGGAACACGTACACGCTAACGTTTCGAGATGTAGGCTGCCCAGTGGGTTGACAGGCAGAGGCGATTACGGCGGTCTAAGCGCTGGACGGGGGTGAAACTCAATATAAGGCCACAGTAGGATGATGAATGGCGGATCCGTGATGTTTAAAGGGGACCCAAATGATGGCAAGCGCACAGAAGAACGGTGAGAGTTGCGCCCAAACAAGGGGTGGGCAGGAAATAAACAAAGATCAAACGAATGACAATTATGAAACGAGTATGGTCAGAAAGAGAACAAAAGGAGGGACTGGGAAATGAAGGGATGAAGTTCGTCTGCCAACGATTTCCAAGATTTCTTTCACAGACTACGAGAAGAGTTGAGAAAACACAGCCACACTCGTCCGGGGCGATCGTGATGGTGCGGTATTGTGGTGCGTAGAGTGGAGTAAATATAAGCCTAGCGCCTACGAGTAGAAAATGCAAGCTCGAACCGCAAGATTGGGATGAAGTGAGTATGTAGTTAGTACTCCGTAGTTGAAAAAGAACTGGTCAGAATAAGTATTCGTTTCAAGCCCAGTTCTATAAATGCATGCGCCAACTGCGTCAGGCGTGGATATTGATGCGTTGGATCCGTACATCAGCGCCACTTGAAACCTTGAACCGAAAGCTTCGCCAGTGAAAGCTTTGCTGTTTTGTGCTTGAGTTACTTGGCGAAACCCGGAAAAACTTGTTTCTTTGAGATCGCCCAGCAATGTGCAATCTCTAAATAGCATCGTCACACCACGTCTGAGTTTCCTCGGGCATTCCTGCAGCTGTTGACGATGCGGTACAATCGTGGCACAAAGGCGGAAGGCCACAAATATGGGTCTTCATTGAGAGCAAATTTCCTCTAACACAAATTGTGTAGGGGGTTTTGACCCGCTCTTGGCAATGATTGGTCAATCAAGTCTCGAGTATTGATTTGCACAGTACTTCTGGCGCCACAACCCCTTTTCTCTTATGTTATGGTGTTGGTTGCTTTCCCAGGTTGTATAATGAAACGATCACGTGTTGATTTTTGAAATTGTTGGTTGGTACCTGTATAAGCACTAGGCAACTCCTGTGGTTGTCTGAGCAAGTGCCCTCTTGGCCCCGGGGGAGCCGGGCCCTGGATGCACTGGGATGGACACCCCCAACAACCTCAGGGACTGGGGACTGTAGTGATTAGGCAAGCTAGTGTCTATTGAATATTGTTATAGGCAGGGTGTTCGTGATGTGGTGACCAACTAGTCCTCGGGCAGATACTGCCGACGTCGGTGGCTTGGGCTCGCTCTTTGACCCTGTCAGAGTAAATGACTATCGTCATTCTGATGAGATATCTATCCACGAGACACTCAGCTCACCCAGCTGAGTTGATGACATAGTTGTCAGCTTTCCAGTTCTGTGTTGGTTCGTGTCTGTGCTGTACTGCGGTCGGTTGCTGAAACGAAGTGAGGTAGGGTAAGGCAGAATCAAGAAAATCAAAAGAAAAGTTAAGAGACTGAGATCAGACACCAAGTATTCAAGTTCACAGAGGGAGAGGAAAGAAAAACTCAGCCCTATGGATTTCTGGGGCATCTTTGGCGTCTTAAAATAGTTGCTGCCTACCTGTTTCGCGCTAGCCTCTTTTAGCCAGGGCTTTTACTTTCTCGCCAGGGACTTTCATGTTTACAACATTGGATATCGTACCTACATACTCTTCAGATATTTGGTTTACATTACTTATATTCTCCATTTCTTTTTTCAAAAAAAAAACGTGTCGATAAATCTCACAATGTGGGCCAAACCCCCATTCGGCCCGACCACAGACGGCGATAGTATCCCTACACGATGTCCAAAGCTTTGATGACCAGGTGAAAAGATGAAAAGAGTATCTCCCAGCATTGAGCATAGTAAGGAATATTTTCCTATATCATTCAGATAGGAATTGCTCCTAGGGTTATATGATCTTGTAAACCCCAGAGTTCTTATAAACTGACCGGGTTTTGGCGTTGGTGGTTCTAAGGCTCTTGTTCCCTGGTAGCACAAAAGGGCACATTACACAAGATGCTCAGAAAGTGCCTCTGATGGTAGTGATGCGAGTATCTCACACAGTTTTTCCGAGACATACTCTGAGACATATTCCGGCTCTAACGACACCAAGTCAAATGAATATGTGCCGAACTTTGGAAATAACATCTTTTCGCTGCGGCAAGTCTGTCTTTTACGAGGGCATAGGGCAGTCGATACCTAGAATAGAGACTCTCCTGTGCAACCTATGTATTTAACTGACACACCTATCATGTAGCCCCAAACAGTAGAGGGAAACAAGTCTCTGTTGGTTTGGTGACCAAAAATAAACATGTCCCACCCAACAAGCCAATACAACATATGTTGTACTCAAGAGTTTTGGCTCAGCCCCAATGTCCGTAAAATGGCTCATACTGATTCAACAAACAAAGAATCCACCACGACTCCATGCCAAGCGGGTTATTGGGCGCTACAAAAGCTTGGTAAAACAGGATATAATGAACCCCCGAACGGGAGGGGATTGACTTCCTAACATTTATGTATATCGTATGCTAAGGCCCACTTTTGACGTGGTCTATGATATTCAGGGGTGCAGCTATACCCCTGAGCTGCACTGCCTAGCTTTGCTATAGTCTGCGCTGGGCTGTATAGTACATAAAGTTCGTAGGCAGTACTCCGTATGTACGGAGTAAATTGCACATATTTGAAAATAAATATTGGCAGCCTGATTATTCTCATGGAAACGAGGGCTATGATAATCCAACGGAAACATTAGTGCCTGCTGTGCCGTCTGATCGCCCGTGTAAATTTAAGAATGTTCTGGATGTTGATGTCAATAGTTTTGGCCTAGAGATAGGAAAAATCAATAGATGATTACTTCGGGCGGAGGATTAATACTTCCATAGCACCACATACTCCGTACTATGCTATAGCATTCCAACCTTGGAAGAAAATGTATCATAAAGATAGATGCGATCCGTGGATTGACCCGAAATGCCCCAGAAACACACTAAGTACTGTGCCACCAGGCCCATGACTTGAGACGGGATTCAAATTATCAAGTCTAAGATTTGCATCTGTACATTGTAGGGACTATCGCGATATACAAGCCTTAGCCAAGGATGCCCAGAAATTTCATCCAGATGTCATCGCATTGATCGACCTTGGCAACGAACAAGCTTTCTCAATTTGCTGAAACTGAAGACTATGATATGTCTATCGTAGAAAATTGTACGGAGCCAGATGTGGGATATATGATGGTATCTACAACGTATGTTGTACTCTTTGTAACCCAGAGACACGATATCGAGACTCCACACCACCCTCCAGTCAGGGTCCCCCAGGGTCGAACGTCACCAGCCTTCCGCAGGCTTACTAGTGGATACAACTGTTTCAGGGGAAGTGGCAAATAAGCAAAAAGGACTCAACGGGAAGGGCTTCAGGGAAAGGACATAGTGGAGCGAAGTGGAGTCCCAGGGCCCAATGATGTAGAATATCAACTTCTTGTTCAGTGGTCATCATCTGGATTGCCAATCATATCTTTCAATCGCAATTTTTTCAAAACAAATATAGAAAAGAAAAAATACGAAACGAAAATGTACTTATGTATTGATATGCAGTTTACCCACATGAATGCGCGTACATCCCTTGGATCATCCCCCTTCTCTCTTTTCTTCTTTTCTATCTATATTTGCTCCTTTCTCTCGTTTACATCTACAATTCCGGTGTGCACTCGTTAGACATTCCTTAGGATTCCAATCTCCTTGCACAATGAAGGCCTCCATCATTGCTGGTCTCTCCCTTCTGGGAGCGGCCATGGCTGCCGACGTCCCCTCCATTGAGATCAAGGGCAAGAAGTTTTTCTATTCCAACAACGGAACCGAGTTCTTTATCCGTGGTGTTGCCTACCAGCCCGAATACACGGGTCGCAATGGTGCTTCTGGCAAGAGCTCATACACTGATCCGCTGGCCATCGACAGCTGCAAGCGTGATATTCCGTACTTGACCAAATTGCGCACCAACGTTGTCCGTACCTACGCCGTCGACCCCAGCAAGGACCACGATGAGTGTATGAACGCGCTCGCCGATGCCGGTATCTACCTGATCACCGATTTGTCCTCCCCTAGCGAATCTATTCAGTCCGACAATCCTACCTGGAACTCGGATCTCTTCACTCGCTACTCCCAGGTTGTCGATGCCTTTGCCAAGTACCCCAACGTTATCGGCTTCTTCGCCGGAAACGAAGTCTCCAACAAGGTCAACAACACCAACTCCATGGCCTACGTCAAAGCCGCTGTCCGCGACATGAAGTCCTACATCAAGCAAAAGAAATACCGCACCTCCCTGGCTGTCGGCTACGCCACCGACGACGATGCCACCGTCCGTGAAGCCGTCTCCAACTACCTGATCTGCGATGAAGCCGCCGACTCTATCGATTTCTTCGGCTACAACATCTACGAGTGGTGCGGCGATTCCTCCTTCCAGAAGTCCGGCTATGCCGAGCGCACCAAGGAATTCGCAGACTACCCTGTGCCCGCCTTCTTCTCCGAGTACGGCTGCAACGAAGTCCGCCCCCGCAAGTTCACCGACGTCCCCGTCCTGTATAGCGACAAGATGACCGACGTCTGGTCCGGCGGCATCGTCTATATGTACTACGAAGAAGCCAACAAGTACGGTCTCGTCTCCGTCGACGGCGACGACGTCAAGACCCTCAGTGACTTCGACAACTTGTCAAAGCAAATGGCCTCTGTAACCCCGACCGGCGTGAACTCAGACAAATACTCCG